GAATGACAAGGTCGAACTATCAGAACAGTTTAAGTATGAACTCAAATGGTGGCTAAAACACCTTCCTAACATCCCAGGAAGATTATGGACGGTGAGAGCAGCAACGCTCACCGTACAAACAGATGCATCAGACTCAGCAGTAGGTGCCATCATCTTTTTCCAGTCCAGGGGATCATGGAAACTAAGTTTTCCTCTCCCAACCGACTTGCTGGAAACATGCAGCACACACCGTGAGTTATACGCAGTAAGGAGCGCCATGTCACTACTAGCGAGCATGGCCCCTGAAGAGCTTTCCTCAAGAGCCATAAGGATAGTTGGCGATAACCAAGCAATCTCTTTCCTCCTAAAAGAGCTAAGCTCAACGGATACACTCTTTAACTCTTTTCTCAGAGAGATTGCTTCAATCCTTTTGACCTTTGACTGTCAGATGCAACCAACCGGGATTCATAGGGAACTCAATACCGCTGCTGATTATCTCTCTAAGATAGTTGACCACGCAGATTGGGGTCTTAGTAAGAACATCGTGAGGACCTTGATTACAAGATTCGGAGAATCAGCCATCGACCTTTTCGCGTCGGAAGAAAACCTCATCTGCATCCCTTTCGTTTCGAAATTCTTGTCCCCAAATTGTCTTGCGACCGATGCTCTCTCACTAGATTGGAATCTGCGACCATCTTCCCCATACAGATGGGTTTTTCCTCCTTGCTTACTTCACCAAGTTTTGGCAATGATGTACTTTCGTGGAGACTACCTCCTAATCACACCCAATTCTTCTAGAGCCAGTTGGTTTCCTTTCTTAAAGACCCTCCCAACATCTTTTGTTCTCAATTTAGAGAAGGATTTATCAACTTGTGTCCCTACCTCCTGAATTCCCAAGAATGCGTTCAACCCAGGCAAGACAAACCTTAAGGTTAGCATAATTTCTATATGATCACTAGTTATAACCATACCCATAACGCATGAAGGAGGAGAACTGTTTCCAAGTACCCTGACCCAGCATTTTTTTCAAGCTCCAACCAGCTTGAATACGGACTCGAACTCCACCAACTCGAAAACTATGACTACTTTCACTGGCAAAGATTCTTATTACTTTCAATCTCTCCTTCAGCCGTTTGTTGAAACCACTAAGGCTCAAATTACCTTTTGTCTGTGTACTGCGAAAGAGCGGCCCACCATCGCGCAAATCGATAGTAGAAACCAGATGATTGTAGCACTCCCGCATTTCTTTAGCCAATTCCAAAAAGGTAGTTTCGTACCCTAGTGGCTCTTGAAGTCGGATGACTCTGTTTCTACCTCTTCTAAGTGTTTTTGTATAACCGGGTTGCACACGAGCGACCTCCTCGTCTATTTCATTCCCACGCAATCTTAAACCTTCTCCTCCACGCTGCCAACTCTCCCATAAATAAGTCATTATGCAGAGATCGCACAGTAATTCGGCATAACGATAACCACTTATACTTTTCATACTCTCGCAAATGCTCTCATGTAATCGCTGCATTTTTTCTGCAGTCATGGTCGGTGTCTGGCTTTCCCTCACCCCCATCTTCAGAGCATAATTCCGATACGCCCGCCGATAGTCTTTCACTTCGCTGCTATTACAAGGATTCTGAAGCCCCTCCCGCCCCAGGATGAGAAAACATTTATTCAAGCAACTAAGGCTAGATTCAACTGTGCTACAAGAAGGGAAAGGGCACCCATCACGATCGAAGGTTCGACTCTGCAACTTTAACTCAGGAATCCATTGACCCTGAAGAAAGGCAATTACATCAATTTCCAAACACTTGGAGATATCTCTCCCAACCTTGTTTCTGAGCAACCACTCACTCAATGATTGCATCATCCGATTTCGCTCTCGCTCTCCGTTTTTTGGTAAACCGTGCTGAGCAATTAACTTTATGGAATCAATCAACCCCTCTACATAGTTGCCTTCAATTCCTTTAGACCTCTGAGCATCCTCATTTCCTTGATTCCCTTGGAGCAATCTGCTCAACCACCATTTCCTGCACACAGATCAGATTTCATCAGATCACGTGTATGTAGGTGGGGAATTTGGCATGGATCAAGAGGTGCATGGGGGTACCCCCACGACTTCTCTAATTTTCCTTGAAGATATTCAGTGTGTTTGTAAATTTCATTGGCCAGTTCAACCTCTGTCAATCAATTTGTTTTGCAAATGTCAAAGATTACTCCTGTCAGAATTATTTGTCTTCCCTTGCAGTTAATGATGCTTTGTTCCTGTAATGTGACCCCTTTCTTTTACCCCTCAGACCTCTGACTGAAACACGCCGCATGAACGCACATAGAAGGCTTAGAATCAGTACTCCTATTGGACATGAGACTATGGCAGCTAGGCTGCCGCCGTACGCTAAGCCGACTCTGTCAGTGGTCGCGGTAAAAGAGAGAAGTTAGGGAATTTTATCACTTACTCTGGGTGGGACGTCAGATAGGCTGGCGCAGCTAGCAAAGGCTCTGCACCTAAACAAGCGTGAGGTCCAGGTTCCGCATCAGGGACTTCGGTTCTATTTAGCAACAACATTTCGGGCTCGGTTTCAACCAAGGGCTCATTGGCTTTTTCTACGCCTTCCAAGGCCTCCTCTGCTGCAGGGGTCCATCCGGACTGTATCCCGTATAGGGGTGGCCAGCATTGGGCCAAATCGGACTGAGAGGGACAATTATGAAATCGAGCACGCAATGTGGGCACTTCCAGATGACCATGGGGACCTGCTATTTCTAATCGAGGCTCCCCACAAGGCCATGTGCTTTTGTTCTTTGCTCTTTCTTCGATCACGATTGCGGCGCCGCTCCGTTCTCCGTACCTGCAACGCGTCACTGGATTATCTTCATCAACGGTTCGCGATTCCCCGCACGAAAATCCTGGCCCGCCCGCACGTGCCCTCGGTGCATGGGGGTACCCCTATGACTTCTCCAATTTTCCTTGAAGATATTCAGTGTGTTTGTAAATTTCATTGGTCAGTTCACTCTGAACTCAATCAACCTCTGTCAATCAATTTGTTTTGCAAATGTCAAAGATTACTCTTGTCAGAATTATCTGTCTTTCCCCTTGCAGTTAATGATGCTTTGTTCCTGTAATGTGACCCCTTTCTTTTACCCCTCAGACCTCTGACTGAAACACGCCGCATGAACACACACAGGGGGCTTGAGGACGCCCACCTCCGCATGATAGCCGCGGAAGCTTTGGAGAGGGACTGGAAAAGCCTTTGCACGGCCCACAGGTGCTCACACGGGGCCTGGAAAAGTCAGGCCCCGATCCAAGTCCCACTTGATGAAACTCTTCATTTCTGACCGTTGGATCTCTCCATTCTAGGGTCGGAAATGAAGGATGTGGGTAAGTGGAATTTTTTCCGTTTTTCAACTTCTAGAATGTTGAAATCAACATTTGAGTATGGAGAAGGGTTCCCGTCAATTGTTTGTATCGGCACTTTACATATGTTCAACAATGGTGTCAACTAGTTGTCAACATTGCCATCATAATTTCAACTTGTTTTCAACATTTATCCAGCGCGCGCTTTGCTGTCGTCCAACAATGTGCTTGTCATTGTGGGAGTTGGCTAGTGCGGGCCTTTCAGCCATTACAGAATGGGGCTTGTCGTTGCAAACGGCCCGCACTAGCGAACTTGTGGTACATTATTTCCCTGCGCGGCAAGTTTGCTGTCGTGCGCGCCAAGTTGTGTCGAGCCGCCGCGATACATGTTCTCCCTACGCCACACATGGAGGGGTAGTCAGGGAGGCACAACGACCTGCCATTGTCCGGTGTCCCCCGTAAAGGTGTTCCCGTATTGGCAATAATGCCATCCTCGGCTGTAATGGGCAGCCTATGTCTGATTAGACACAGTCTTGCATTTACGTGGGCTGGTTAGGCCGATGATAAAACTTCAACGCCTGAAAAAAAAAAAAA